TCAGAGCCAGCCTGGACTATATAACAAGACCTTGTCTCAAACAAAAAATATATAGTCTTTCTCAAAATAAGATCACGTTTAATTTTTCTTATTGTAAGTGATACAGATCATAAAAGAAAACTAATCAGAATATAAGCAAAGGGGGCTGGGGATTTAGCTCAGCGGTACAAGTGCCTGCCTTGTAAGCAGGCAGTCGTGAATTCGATCCCTGGTACCAATAAAAAGGAGAAAGACAAAAAAAAAAGAATATAAGCAAAATGCATGTACACTGCACTCATATGGGAGCGGGCTGAGCAAAGTGGCTCATGCCTGTAATCCCAGGATTCAGGCGAGGAAGATGTCTTTGAGACCAGCCTGGGCTACATAGTGAGCTCAAGACCAGCCTGAGCTCCATTGGGAGACCCTGTGTCCAAAAAAAGGAAATACACTTTGTAGGGTGACAGCCAACCCCTGCAGTAGAGCGGAGTGGCTTGCTTTTCCTTATTGGCGAGGGGAGACTTTTTTTCCTTCTTTGGTGGCCTTTTTTTTTAAAATACAGTAACCTCTTGCTTTGTTCGCTACTTGAGATTCTAGATACTTGGATTTGGGAAACTAAATAAATTGGATTGAAAAGAACTGCAAAATACTGTTGGGGTAGGGGTCAAACTTTTTTTTTTTTTTTGGTACCAGGAATGAAACTCAGGACCTCCGCAGGCGCTGTGCCTCTGAGCTATGTCCCCTACCCATACTATTTTTAATAAAAAAAAAAATATGAAAAGCTGGATGTGGTGGCTCACGCCTATAATCCCAGCACTCAGGATGTTGAGTCAGGAGGATTGTTGCAAATTTGAGACCAGCCCGGGCTACAAAGTAAGCATGAGACCAGCTTGAACTGCATAGTGAGACCCTGTTTTAAAAAGACCAAAAAAAGGGCTGGGGATTTAGCTTAGCGGTGAAAGTGCCCGCTTGGCAAATACAAGGTCCTGAGTTCAATCCCCAGCACCAAAAAAAAAAAAAAAAGAGCCAGGTGGAATGGCACAAGCCTATAATCCCTGCTTCTCCTGAGGCTGAGGCAGGAGGATCACAAACTGAAGTCCAGGCTGGGCAATTTAGTGAGGTTCTGCCTCAAAATAAAAAAGGGTGGGGGTGTACCTCAGTCCAAAGGCCTTGAGTTCAACCTGAGTAAAGGACAGTGAATGGAGAATCAAAGGGAAGACAGTGCTCTTAAATAATGTCTTTCTGCTGTTGTGGTCAAACCCAGGGCCTCCGGTACACTCGGCAAGTGCTGACTCACTGGGCTTCATCCCAGTGCAAAAATTTCTCTAGGTACAGCCACTGCCTATAGCCAGTTAAAAAAATGAGTGTATGAGGAATCCACTTTGAAATCTGCATATTATCAGTGCCCCAAGCAAGTTTATGCATGCTAAATTCCTTTTTTTTGGTGTTTTGAGACAGGGTCTCACTGTGTAGTTCAGGCTAGCACTGAACTCTATGTAGCCCAAACTGGCCTCAAATTTGCAGTGATCCCCTAGTTTTAACCAACTAAGAGCTGGGATTACACCACATCCGCCACACCTGGCTTAGTTTATACTTTTTTTTTTTGTCTTTTTCTTTTTATCAGTACCAGGGATTGAACTCACGACCACACACTTCAAGGCAGGCGCTTATGGCGCTGAGCTAAATCCCCAGCCCCTTAGTTTATACTTTTTAATAGGATCAGACATTCCTGAAAATCTCACAATTCCCCAGGTTGTTTTGCAGTCCTGTCATCCATGTAAGTAATATTTTTATCACTGGGGCACTGCTACACTGTTTTTCCTCTTCCTAGTTTCACTCTTCTTTGTTTATTTGTTTGTTTGAGACAGGGTCTTGCTACGTAATTCAGGCTGGCCTCAAATTCACTATGTAGCCCAGGTTAGCCTTACATTGATAGTGGTCCTCCTGCCTCAGCCTCCCAAGTGCTGGGACTATAGGCTTGCGCCACCACTCACTGCTAGTTTTATTCTCTAAAGGTGGTTGAATATTTGGAGTTCTTTACTGTCCTCTCTATCCCTCATACTTCTGTCTTGATTGTGATCCAGTACTTGGCTGATGAAAAGTTAGTTTGTTATGCTGTATGAAAAGGTTTATGAATATACCTATAACTTTTTCTTCCTACAATTTCCTAACTGTATGTTGGAGGAATCAGATAGTCATGTTAAAAAAAGAAAGCAAACTGTAGTTGGACATGTGCTTGGATTGACCTACAGGACATAGATACATAGCATATTACATAAATGTATACATACAAAAATGCATATTACAACATCAACATAATTTCTCTGTATTAAAGATACTTTGTGCAAAAGATTTAAATTACTTTTCTTTTAAGGTATTCAGATCTAAGCTAAAATGGTGACAATAATTTAAAAGCTAAACTAAAATGGTAAGGGCATTAAGAGTAAAAAGTGAATTTCTTAATGCTTCTCCTCAAATACTGAAGCTAGGCAATGCAGATAAATTTTGAAAATTGATGTAAAAACAGTGTTAATTACTCTCCTTTTATAAACTAATAACATTGCCGAGATTTAACAACTATAACATGTTCAGAATTACTTAATATTTCATATTAGGAAATATCAGTGTTTTTTTTTTGTTTTTTTTTGTTTTTTTTTTTGTCTTTTTCGTTTTTATCGGTACCAGGTACCAGGGATCGAACTCACGACTGCCTGCTTGCAAGGCAGGTGCTTATGCCGCTGCGCTAAATCCCCAGCCCCGAAATATCAGTGTTTTAGAGCTGAATTAAATATTTATCTCATTCAAACTGAATTTGGGAACATGATCTTAACACAAACTTTTAGAGGTAGAAAATTACATTGATAAATCTGACTTTAAAGAGAATCAGCAGGAATAAAAGTACTCTGCATAATACAATTTTCCTGATTTGGATAGACATTCACTGAAAACACTGGTGTGAAGAAGCACCTAGAACAATAGCATATGCAAATAGTGTACAATACTATTATTTTTTCATGAGTTAGCAAAACCCAGTAAAGAAGTGGGTCCAGCTTTAAAAGGGATAATGAATAATTAGCATATGAAATGTCTGTCTCCAAGAGAGGCTTGTACACCAGTCAGGTTAACTCCTTTCTGTTTATTTTGCAGTACTGTGCATCCATGCTAGTCAAGTTAATACTGAGCTATGGCCCCTGCTATCTCCTCTTTGAAAACAATTTCTCATCGGTTGGAAAACTGATTCTGCTTACACTATTATTTGCTTATAAATTCTCTTTAGTACAGTAGACTGTATTCAGATCACAAAATTCAAGTGTCAGGAGCTAAGTGGTTTAAAAAACAGTAATTCTTTTTTTTTAAAAAAGGATTACTTTTATGCTGTTGTTGTTTTGTTTTGCTTTTTGATCTTTTTGAGATAGGGTTTCATTATGTAGTATAGGCTGGCTTTGAACTCACTTTGTAGCCCAGGCTGGCCTGGAATTTGCAATGATCCTCCTGCCTCAGCCTCCCAAATGCTGGGATTACAGGCCTGCACCACCACACTTAGCTATCAGGGTGGTTTTAAACCTGCTATGAAGTCCAGGCCAGCCTTGAATTCTGTGATCCTCCTGCCTCAGCTTTCCAAGTATTGTGCTTACAGGCATATGCCACGCCTCACCAATAATGGTATCTTTCAGTAAGTTACCTAGACTAGTCCACCCCCAATTTTCATACATTCTTAACATTTTAGCAGAGGAAAATGATGGCTGGGAATGGTGGCCCACATCTGTAACCCCAGCACTCTGGAAGCTAAGGCAGAAGGATCACTGGGAGTTTGAGGTCAGCCTGGACTACGTAGCATTTCAAAGGCAGCTTAAACTACGCGAGACCCTGTCTCAAAAAACCAAAAAACAAACCAAACAAAAATAAGTCTGTTAAGACTTAGAGAGAGGGCCTAGCTTAGCAGTATGGCATGTGCCTGGCAAGTACAAAGTCCTGAGTTTGATTCCCAGTATACTGCCTCCCCCAAAAAGTTAGGGAAAATATAACATACTCTATAGAGATTCTGTTTTTCTGGCTGGATATTTTGTGGCAGATAGATATATTTATTATGCACCAAGTAGGCCTTCTTTCCCTGTACTCTGCACCCCACATCTACTCACACCAAACAAGATTACAGTAAGCAAAAAGATAAAAATACAAATACCTAAGAATTTTTTCCTATAACATTTTCACCTCTTGTATATTTTAAGTATTTATGGTATAATGTCTGCTTTGTTGTAGCTGATAAAAAGGACTTTAACCTGTATTTGTAGGGTTGGTATGTGGCCATTATTGCATACAATCAAAACTAGATGGTAAGCAATTCTTTTTTTTTTGAGACAGGATCTCATTATGCAGTTCAGGCTGGCCTTGAACTCACTATGCAGCTGAGCCTGGCCTCAAACTCACAATAGTTCTCCTGCTCCAGCCTCTTGAGTGTTGGGATTACAGGCGTGGACCACCACATCCGGCAACTATAACCAATTTTAATGTAAAGAAAATATTTTCATTTATTTGATATATATATATTGAGTGGCTGAGCAGCAAGCATGCCATTTCTAGTAAGGGGAGACAGTCAAAGATAACCAGAAGATTCCAGTCCTTAGGATCTGGCATTAGTGGGTGTCATGTTACTATAATACAAAGCAGAAAGAACTTGAAGGGAAGAACAAAATACTTTGCTTTTCAGATGCAAATAATTTCAGAACTGACACTGGCCGAACTGCTTTAAACATTTAGTTTTGTTACAAGTTCAACATAACTGGGGGGGAAAAAAAAACCTCCACAACTCTCTTCCTTTGTCCCTCAGATTCCAAGAACTCAGCTCAATCTTGTTGGTAACAAATTGGTGACTCGTCCAGAAGGGGCTGGAGAATAGGGTGAGGTGAGGGGAGGGGGTTACTCAGAGTCCTGGGGGCACCACCCCTTTTGAGGCCTCTGATGCAGAGATCATTACTCAGAATGGCGGGCTCGTGCAGTCTGATCCTGGTCACGCTCCCGATTACCTCTAAACAGCCCCACAGATCAGAGTAGTAGAGCAGGCCAGGCTCCCCATCAGAAAAGCGGCGACAGCTACATCAGCGGTGAAATTCTACAGCCTTTCATAAGCGGGTCTAATGCACCTGTACCGGGATTACCAGAGTTGAGGATTCCAAGATCAGGGAAAACTGAAAAGGGATGGGGGCGAAAAGGCAGGGGGAATGGAAGGAACACCAGGAGGGTTCACAAAAAGGGTGAGGGAAAGGGTGGGGAGGGCAGGATGTCGCGGGGAAAGCCATAGGTTTCTAAGCGAGACCCTGGCGTTCCCATGGTAACGTATCCCTCCGCCCGTGACCGGTGTTCGAAAACTGTTAAATTCCCTCCGCGCCGCTTCTCGTTTGTTTCCGCCCAGCTCCTTTGTGCCGCGCAAAAGCGTTGAGATGACGCATGCGCACAGATGCACGCGCGCATATATAAGGACGGACCCGGGCTCTTCCTCGTAGTGCCGCTGGGACCGTTGGCGGGGAAGGGTGGGCGGTAACTTGCAGGCTACTCGCGACCTGGGCCCTGAAGGCTGCACAGCAGAGCGCACGACTCGGTCAACATGTCGCGTTACGGGCGGTACGGAGGAGGTGAGTGTCTAGGGCCCAGGGAGGGAAGGTGCTGCGCGGGTGGTGATTACTGTGAGGCCGAAAGGCTGGCGCGGCAGTTGGGAGACGATTATTCCGCGTGCGTAATGGCGGCTTCGGCGCACGCCTGACAAACTGGGGCAGCGGGGGCGGGGTGTGGGAGGCCGACTGGGGATGGCGGGCTGTGTCTGTGCGGGACTCCGTGTCCTTGGGCATTTTCGTGGCTCATTCGGGCCCGAAACTAGGTCTGGGACCAGGGTTTTCCCGTTGGCCTCCTCGGCTCTGCCCGCCTGCCCCATCCCCCTCCGCCCGGCGGCGGCTGCCATTTTGCGCGCATTGGCGAGCGTGGTGGCGCATTTCCTCAGCGCTTTCCCGCCACTGGAGCGGACACATCTGGTTGCAGAGATAAAACCAGGGTTGGATTTGAGACGGAACGAAACTGGCAGCTGCGAGCCGAGCGTTCTCAGTAAACAGTTGGTCTAAATTGCAGAACGAGAATCGGGACTGGGCTGCTGGCTTCCCTCTTTCGCTCTTTCGAACGCGTTGTGCGCCCTGGGGCGGGAGCTGGCGCCTGGGGCGTTCGCCGCGGAGGACGGGAACCGGCGCAGCCCAGCTTTCAGACTCGGCCCGCGGCGGGCCCGCGCGATCTCGCCCCGGGGCCGCCGGGATTCGGGGGCGGGACCGAGCGGGGGTCCGCCCAGCGCCCGGGAGCGTAGCGTTACCGTGTGCTTTTACTGTTACTACGGGGCGGAGAACTCGAGAAGCTAGACTTAGAGAAGTCTAGCTTTGCAGGCTTAGCTGTAGGTAGCGTTTAATATGGTGGCACGTGCCAGTAGTCCCAGCTACGTACGAAGCTAGAGCTCAAGAGTTCAAGATCAGCTTGGACAACATTGCCAGACCCTGTCTCAAGGAGAACAACTGCATCGTCTTATTTTTGGTGTTCTTTAAAATTTTTAAAATTTTTCTCGGTACTAAAAACTGAACGTAGGAACTCACACACTGCTAGACAAACGCGCTGCCACTTTAACTGTCCCCAGTGGAAGGACTGCCTGCTTCAAGGAAGGGTTCATTAAAACTTTTTCTTTGGTATCGGGGATCAGACTCAGGATCTCACGCTTGCCAGGCAGGGGCTTATGCCACTGAGCTAAATCCCTGGCGGGTATATTAAAATTTAAGTCAAACTATACTTAACTTTTTATTCTTATTTGCGTTAACAGAAACGAAGGTGTATGTTGGTAACCTGGGAACTGGTGCTGGCAAAGGAGAGTTAGAAAGGGCTTTTAGTTACTATGGCCCCTTGAGAACTGTATGGATTGCAAGAAATCCCCCAGGATTTGCCTTTGTGGAATTTGAAGATCCTAGAGATGCTGAAGATGCAGTACGAGGACTGGATGGAAAGTAAGTGAGATAAAATAGTCCTATAGGGTAACGAGTGCTCTGGGTTCTAAGCTTGGGCTGTACAGTCTGGCAACAGTAAATAAGTAATAACTGTGGGAGTAATAAAACCCAAATTGTGTAATTGTCATTGTACAAAAGAAAGGAAAAGTGCTCTAAAGGATATAACTGCATATATATTTAAGTGTATAAGATAGATAACCATATTACTGAGTTTTGTTGGATCATTGAACAAAACTGTTTGCAGTCTCACTGTTTGAAAGTCCACTTTATATGCTTTAATTTTGTAACTTGAACAACTATTTCTAAGATAACAATATGTAATCTTATTAACTAGTGATTTCCTACTGTTCTTTCTGAAATTCTGTATAACTTGTACCCTTTTCTGTTTTGTTTTTTTTTCTTTTTCTCCTTAAATAAAATAAAAAAACAGTAAAAACATTAACACAATATTTCTTAAAGACCCAAAGGTTAAAGGGAATTGGAAGAAAGTGAATTGGAAGGGCAGGGGCTGGGGATTTAGCTCAGTGGCATAAGCACCTGCCTTGCAAGCAGGCAGTCATGAGTTAGATTCCCGGTACCAATTTAAAAAAAAAAAAAATTGGAAGGGCTGAGTAGAACCAAAGCTACTGAGCGAAAAAAGTAATTGTAAAGAGTTCTTTTGAATGTATAAGTCACATAATTGTAACTCCATAATTGTTATTTTTATAGGGTGATTTGTGGTTCCCGAGTGAGGGTTGAATTATCGACTGGCATGCCTCGGAGATCTCGCTTTGATAGGCCACCTGCCCGACGTCCCTTTGATCCCAATGATAGATGTTACGAGTGTGGCGAAAAAGGACATTATGCTTATGATTGTCATCGCTATAGCAGGAGAAGAAGAAGCAGGTATTTAGTTAATAAAGGAATGGTTGGTATTCTAGTTAATCAGAGTAATTCTTTTATTAGCAAGGCAGAAACTAGTGTTTTTCTAAATACTTGAATGTTAATTGTACAGGTGTATTTTACAATTTTTTGTTTAATTAAAAAATGTTAATATATTAATAATCAACCTGGTCAAAACCTTACAGGTTTCTTCGTTTGAGTCAGTCGCCTTGATTCAGAATGTCACGAGCCTTATGATATCATGCTGAGGCGCCTTGCAAATCCGACAATTAAGATCCTCCTAGACCTTGAGGTGATCAGCATAAGAGGCCAGATCCCCTCGAGTCATCTACACCTAGCTTCACCTTATTCTTTAAAGGGCAGAAAATTTGAGACGGTGATCGCCGTAACAGTAAAATTGGCTTACAATTGGGGCCCCCTCCGCTTTAGAAAGAGGAACACCAGATTGACCACATTCCCAACTAGAAAAATCTTCTTGCGTCAATCAAGCCTCACCTGGCTCTTTTGGCTGTCAGTTTGATCGTCGTTAGATTGAAGAAAACATCTAGATGCAGCGATCGGCTATAGATACTTCTAGATCGTCTAGATCTACTAGACCTACTAGACCATGGGCCAAAGAGGGTCGACTGCAAACTTGCAAGGTTTATTTTAAATACACATTACAAGTGTTTTATATTATGTAATTCTAAGTTGTAATTCAGCTTTTAACAAATCTTTTTTTAGGTAGTAAAAAAAAAAAAAAAAACTAATAGGCCCAGAATTTATTTCCAAATGAGACACTAAATTTAAATAGTTCTGAGATTTGATTTCAGCAGAGGCACATAAACTTTTCAAATGAGCTGTAGTCTAATATTTTGTACTTTTCTAACTTGAAAAATAGGTCACGGTCTAGATCACATTCTCGATCCAGGGGAAGACGATACTCTCGCTCACGCAGCAGGAGCAGAGGACGGAGGTGAGACATGTTAATTATTACTGTAAAATTTTTAACAAGTGAAAATGAACTTTGGAGATAAACTTAACTTAATTTTTAGGTCAAGATCAGCATCTCCTCGAAGGTCAAGGTCTGTGTCTCTTCGTAGATCAAGATCAGCTTCACTGAGAAGATCTAGGTCTGGTTCTATAAAAGGATCGAGGTATTTCCAGTATGTAACACTCTCTTCCTCATTTTGAGTTAGATTGTCACTTCTTGACAGCACTATGGAATGCCTCAGGACATGATTCACAGGAATTGCTTCAGAGAGTATTTGAAAAGATTGACTTTTACATATGATTTGTAGTAATGGGCATTAATTTGATCTTACTGTTACAGATGAGCACAACTAAGGATTTAAGGCTCTTTTTTTGTGTGTCTTTTCCTTTTTATCGGTACCGGGAATTGAACACACGACTGCCTGCTTGCAAGGCAGGCGCTTATGCTGCTGAGCTAAATCCCCAGCCCCGAAGGCTCTTCTCAAGAGATCATGATGCTGGGCATGTTGGTTGCATGCCTATAATCCCAGCACACTAGATGCTGAGCCAGGATCTCACTGTAGTGTCCAACCTGGACTACAGTGAGATCATAGCTCAGGAAAAAAGACTGTGGTGATAGAGACAGATTAAAGGCAACAACTTATTTTAGAGAATACTGGGTATTTAGCATGTTGCTTTGTAAGCCTCTGTCACATAGTTCAGTGATTGTTAGATACCTTTGATAGTTGATTGCTGACAAGGCCCACTAGCACCAAGAAGAGACTTAGAATATTATTGCAAGACCCTGACTTGAAAAAAGAAATCAGACTCCCAAAAAACACATACATGTATTTGTTGTCCTCAGAGTTCAATGTAGGTCCTGGTGTGTGTCAGACAAATGCTGCCCCACTGAGCTACATCCTGAGGCTTTTACATACTTGGTTTCAACACAAACTTAAGGGGAACTCTGCTTTATTTCCTTTGTGAGGCCCTTAAGAAGGTAGGATGGGTACAACTCTACAAAATAAAAATTAGTCCTTGGCACCAAAAAAAAAAATACAATGAAACAGGTACAGAATGACACTGGTAATTATTAGCACAGAGCCTTAAAATGAAGGTACTGTATTGTGAATCCTGTCTTCTATTTGAAGAAGCATGGGCAAATCTCTAGATCAGTGTCTTATGTGTTTAATCTACAATCTAAGTGTCAACTCAATTTGGATTGTCTTTAATAAATTACCTTGAATTATCACAACTTGCTTATGATTGAAGAGTTAAATTCTTAAGGGTTTGTGGTATCAAGGATAATTTGATAGCCACTCCACCCCCACCTCTCACCACATGTGTGCACACACACACACCCCACCTTCCTTCACACTGAGCCAATTCCTTGCCCTATTTTTTTTAAAAGACCATCTTGCTTAAATAGCCCAGGCTGAGTATCTTCCTGCCTCAGCCTCCAAGAGAGCTGGGATTATAGAGTTGTACCATTGATTCCTTTAAAATGAAATGCCCTAGTCTTCTCAAATGAAAACCAAGTGTTACTACTTTTTTTTAAAGTGTTACTACTCTTAATGTTAGTGTTTTGAGCATATTCTGAGTACAAGAACTACGACCATTGAGTTTGAGAGAAGTTGTTGAATGTAGATTCCTTACATTCGAATTTTGGGCTTGTTTGAAAGTCATAATTTTTTTGCCTTAGGGTATAAATCAAGAATCTGTATCTTTCTTAGTTTAGCTTCTCTTTTCCTAACCTGTCTTATATAAGATGGTCAGTATTAAAAGATGTGAGCTAATTAGTAAAATTTTACTTTTGCTTTTCCTTTTATTAAGATCCCGGTCCAGGTCAAGATCAAGATCTAGGTCTCTTTCACGACCAAGAAGCAGGTAGGATAAAAATTTGGTTAGATGTTCTGAACAGTTATATGGCACCAATATCCAAAGAGTTCAAAGTATTTTGAATCATTGAAACATTAAGTGGAAATACAGTACCTTGTTAGGCCAAACAAGAACTTAATTTCTACATGGCTTGTTGCTTGCTTCCTGGAGGAGGGAATGTAAAATGTGGTAGGGTTTTGGAGGCTAAGAGGCCCTTGTTAGTTGATTGGTTCATGGATAAGGATCCCAAGGCAGATGTGCTTAAAACAGAATAAAAGATGAATTATGGTGGTATAGCAGGTGTATTGTTTTATCGGAAAAGTTTTGGAAGATTGGCTTTTTACAGTGATAACTATGGTAACCTACATAAACTACAATCTGACATTGTAAGCTTAGAACGATTAGGTATTTGTTTCATAGTGTTACAGCTTTAAGGAAAGCTATTTGGATAGTATTTTTTTCTTACTAGAATTTTTCATGTTTTGACAGCCGATCAAAGTCCAGATCTCCATCTCCAAAAAGAAGGTAAGCTAAATGTTTTGTTGACAAATCTTAACCTGCCGAGTGTGGCCTCTGTAGAATGCTTGCTTACTCTTTGTTGTCTTTGAGCTCTTTGGAGAATTGGTGCTATATAGATCTTAAGTATTGTTTCTGAAATGGTTGCTTTTTCTTCTTAAAAACCAGTTTATGCTTTTGTTTGAAATATTTTATCAAAGTGTTAAAGAGTCTTGTGTTAGGTTGTATTGAGTCAGGTGTCCACATGGAGAAAAATCTTAAATGGTTATAGTTTTGCACCTGAGTTTTTTCTTCCTAGCACACTTTGACCAAAAAAATGTAATAACTTAAATTGTGCAATTTTTCTTGGAATTTTGTCAGCTAATAAGTGTAATATTGAGGGACAAGTGAATATATAAATCTCACGTAATTTTTAGGCCCTAGCTGAGGAACTTCAGTGGCTTAGTTTCCCTGACATCATGTACTTGAGAAGAGTAAGTTTTGGTAGACACACTAACTGGCTCCAAACCTAATGTTTTTCTTTTTAGTCGTTCCCCATCAGGAAGTCCACGCAGAAGTGCAAGTCCTGAAAGAATGGACTGAAGTTCTCAAGTTCATCCTTTAGGGAAGTTATTTTGTTTACATTATTATAAGGGATTTGTGGCATCTGTAAAGTGTAATTTAGAAAGGATATTTCAACCATTAATCAAAATGGATCTGGATTATTCGTAAATTCATGGCAGTAAAATAATATAAATTTTTGTTGAATGTATTAACATGGTCTGAAAATCTGGGGTTTTGTTTGGCACATTTAAATAAAATGTTTCTAATAGACTTTTGATTTGTGTTCAATATTAACACTTGAATTGTTAAACATCCAGTCAGATTTAATTGTTACTAGGCACATTCATACAGAGACCTACATTGAGTTTAATGATGTTGGTTAAATGTTGAACATCGTCAGCTGTTCTATACATAACACTTGGCTGGGATCTTTAGGGACTTTGAAAGTTACATTTTACCCTTGTATTGGATAAGGTGATATCAAGTCCCTTATAATAGCATGGCTATGACAAATCCCTAAATTTATTTAAAGTTGGTGTCATTGGATACTGTCAAACTAATGTTAATCTTTCAATCTAGAGGGACCACTGATTTGCCTATAAATAAGCATGACAAGAACAAAGCAAAGTTTATTAAATGTGATAGATAAAGTGAGAAATTGATTTTTGGAGGCTTTAGTAGCTAATTGTTTTCAGGCTTTTGGGTGGGATGATTTCTACTCAGTGTTCTTTTGTTTCTTTGTTTTCAAACAATCTTTTAATACCAAAACAAAATGCATGTGTGAGGAATTATCTGAATTTGGAACAAAATATTGTAAACCAGCTTTGCAAAATTTTCTAGCCCAGATACTCTCAATCCCTTAAAAAGGATTGCCTTACTCTGTTGAAAGATGTATTCTATCCAGGCAAAGATTTTTTTGAGGTAGAGACCCTGTTTATATGTTTGAGGCTGGCCTTGAAGTCAATATGTAGCCTAGTGCACATCTTGAATTCTCAGGCAGTCCTGCCTCAGCTCCCTGAGGGGGATTATAGGTGTGTACCACCACACCCAGCTCCAAACTGTTATAGTTCCCAACAATCATTGTTCTGTTTTGCCAAGCTGGTACATAAAAAGTAATTAAAGATGTTAACCAGAATTGTTAATGAGACTTAGAGCAGTTTTGTAAATCTCACCTATTTAGCAATACTTCATGTAGCTAATTTTTTTGTTAGTGTCTCTTAGACCTTATAATGTTAAAGCCAGTAGGTTCTTACTCAGAATTTAAATATTAAGTATAGTAGGCAGTGAAACAGTTGAGGGTTTCTGGAAATGCTTTCACCAGTATTACTCAGCTCAGTTTAAAAAAAAAATGTTGGTAGCACAAGAATCTGCCCTTGTGTATTTTGTAGGCTTTTCAACAGTCATTGGATGGTGTTGGAATTTGGGAATAATGGTCTGCCTCATTATATTTGGTGGTCTAAGTGACCACTAGTGTGTTGAAAATTACTTGGATTCTTTGACTTTGGAATTTTTACAACTGGTTAAATTAACATGGTATAAAGCTATGTGTGATTGGCAGGCTTGTCTGTTGCACTTGGTTAGCTTTGTTATGTATTCTATAAAGTTAAGTTTACTGAACAATAAATCTGCAGAGATTGAACAAATAATCCTGACACTCAGTTTTTGGAAGTGTGAGCTGTAAGCCAAAAATAGGAGTTCCTTAATCCTGAAGCTTTTTAGGATGGGTAGCTAGTGACATATTAGAAAGTAGTATAGCCGGGTGTGGTGGCTCATGCCTGTAATCCCAGCACTCGGAGGCTGAGGCGGGAGGATTGTTGTCAGTTTGAGACCAGCCTGGACTACAAAGTGAGCTCAAGGCCTGCGTGAACTGCATAGCGAGACCCCATCTCAAAAAAGACCAAAAAAGTAGTATAAAAGGGAATGGCTATGAAGGGGTGTGGTAGGGTCACAGGTGAAAAGCTTTAATAGGAAAAGGCAATACTGGCAGTTTAGACAGCTTTTGTGCTTTCTAATAGTACACATGTCAGAACTGATGCAGTTCAATGCTGTGCACCATTTTTGCTGCATTTAACATAACTAGCTGATATATTTATGACTAAGTGCCAGCCATATACTTTCTGAATCTTGGGCCTAGCAATTTTTTTTTTTTGTATTTACTTGGTATAGAGTAGTAAGTATACATTTTTTTTTGTTTTTGTTTTAGTGCCAGGGATCAAACTCAGGACTGTGTGCTGCAGGTACTTATACTGCTGAGCTAAATCTCCAGCCCTTAGACATATTTTTTATTTCACAGTAGTTCTATATTGGGTTTTAAACCTGCTGTGTCAAGAAATTAAATATTGTCTTCCTTTTTTTTTTTTTTTTTTGTCTTTTTCATTTTTATTGGTACCAGGGACCAAACTCACAACTGCCTGCTTGCAAGGCAGGTGCTTATGCCGCTGAGCTAAATCCCCAGCCCCAAATATTGTCTTCCTGAGGACAGAATACTAAAGAGGTTTTGAAATTCACCAGTTTGAATTTTGGTTCTCGTGTTTATGTGTACCCTATTTTAGAGTGCAAAAATAAGACAGACCAAGATGTAGGCAGCTGAGAATTGGAAGGTATGAAACTGGTTAAGCAAAAAGCTGTCATAACAAAGGGAAGTGGCACAGTTAACAGCTAAAGTTTGGTAGTGCAGGCCTGTAACCCCAGCAATGGGGAGGCTGAGGTAGGATTGCTGAAAATTTGAGGTTAGCCAAGACTACATAGTGAGACCTGTCCCAAAAAACAAAGTTCTTGGCACATGTAATGCAACAGCTTGGTAAATGTCAAACCTTCAGAGCCAGTTCTCAAAACTTTGGTTTTTCCACATGCTCATGATCCAGCCTATTCACCTGGCTTTATTTTTGACATAAGGTATATATGAAAGTTTGGTTGCTGACTCAGCTGTCACGTTCCCTCCATAGCAGCAACTGCTGTCAGCAGTGGGTAATGTGTAGTACATCATTGTACAAATGAACAAGTGTATGTAAGATAATCCCTAGAAATTGCATTGCTGGGTCTACGGATTTGTACAGTTATGTTTTGGGTATTAGTTTGCCCTGGTAGCAATGTTAGCAGGTTTTGGGTGCTGGAGTCTTTCTAGAGGTTTCTAGGTTCTTTGTGCCCAGAACAAAGATTTGGTGAAGATAAGTGCAAACAGTAGCAAGCTTTTATGTTTACTAAAGTTATAGACAGGAACAACATGCTTTCCTGCAGACAGGCCAGCTAAAGGTAAGTATACAAACTAGGCATGGTAGCACACCTGTAAATGCAGCACTCGGGAAGATGAGGTGAGAAAATAGCTGTGAGTTCAAGGTCAGGCCCATGAGACCATTTTCAAAAACACCCTGCAAAACAACACTGTAGACCAACAGGTAGGAAGAGTTAACTGGTGTCTGGCCTGATGGCTATCTTTTGTAACTTCGATTCTTTAGGATGATGTAAGGTCTAGACTGCCCTATCAAAAGTGTGCGTGAGTTCTTGGAACAGAGTGATGCGCTGATTGGTTCCAGAGGCACTGTTCTGTGTGTGAGTTCTGGAATTCTGATGGATAAGTCATGGCTTCTTTCCCAGCCAGTTTCCCACATCTGAATCCACCTCAGCAAGGTGTATGTAGGGAACGTCTTTCCCTGTGGTGGTCTATCCTGATGTTTATGGATCTCCTGTTAAAATGTCTCACCTGGACATGTGCCACATACCTGCCCTTGGGAGCAGAAGCTAGAGGATGGCTTTGAATTTCAGGCCAGACTGGGGCTTCGTAGTGAGTTTAAGGCCAGCCTAGGATATATAGTGAGACAAAAAAATAATCTCAGCATTTTTTTCTCTTGTGTGTATTTTTTGTTTTTAGTTGTAAAGTACATGTTTTCCCCTTCAAGAGAATTCTCATGTACTAGAGTCTTGTTTCTTGCTTTCAGCATACGTGAAGTTTTACAGTGGGACTTTATATCTTGATTGCCTGTTTACTTCCGTGCTTATATACTAGGAAGCTGGTATTTCTTCAGTGTAACAAATATTTGATGAGTGAAAAACATTAATGTTAATGCATTTCTTATTTTTTATGGTACTGGGGATTGAACACAAGGGTACCTCTTATCCCTGAGCTACACCCCCGGCCCTTTATTTTTATTCTGAAGCAGTCTAGGCTGGCTTCATACTTTCTGTCCTCATGCTTCCAGCTAGGTGGGATTACAGATGTGTACCTCACGTTCCCTTGAGTGAACTCCAATCTACTAAACCACCCATACAAAAACAAACTTCTTTTGAGGCCTTTTAATCACCATTTCAAATAAAGCCCACATTTTCTTTTAGGTGCCTGTGGGCCGACTGCTGTCTTAAGTCTGCCTACAGAGGATTTAGACCCTGAAGGCTGTGTGCCCTGTCAGGCTTCACTTAACACAAACATTTTCTCTCCTTATCTGGGTTGACTCTTTGATTTCTACTACTTTTGAGAGATCTGCTGGGGAAAGGTGTGGCAGAGTGTGCTCTCAGAGCACAGGCTAACCTATCACCAAGAGCTGGTGGGTCCAGGTGAGTCCCCCTGGCCTAAGGTGAAGGTGTAGGATCGTTGGCTTCCATTGCATGACTCGGCTGCCTCAGGCTCTGCCTTTCCCGCCTGAAGATTTTCTTGGGTATGTTGCTACTGGGTATGCATGGATGTTTGCATGCTTGTGTTTATGTGACAGACACAGAGACAAAGTCCAGTTTTGCAATTTTGTAACAGGCTGACCTGGAACTTGGTATGTAGCCTTAAATTTGGGATCCTCTTGCTTCAGCCTCAGTGGTGTTATACACGTGACCACAATGCCCCCACCCCTTTTGAGGCAGTGTCTTGCTGTGTGAACTAAGGCTAGCTATGTAGACTGGCCTTGACCTCTTGATGATCCTCCTGTCTTAGCCACCACACCCAGCTGGGTTGTGCTGCTTAATGACTAAGGAGGTAGCTGGATAGAATACATAAAGACCAGTCTTAGTTTTTATTTAGAGTTGTATCTGAAAACAAATTCTAGAAAGTGATAATAGTTGGGGCTGGGGTTTAGCTCAGTGGCATAAGTGCCTGCCTTGCAAGCAGGCAGTCATGAGTTTGATCCCCAGTACCAATAAAAAGGAAAAAGACAAAAATTTAAAAAAAGTGATAATAGTTTATCTAGAAAGAAAATGTGCACAGTAAATATAGTTGAATATGGTAGTGTATGCCTGTAGGGATGGGGTCTGTAGGCAGGAAAAGAATACAATGAGGGCCCTATTATTAGCCATTATTGTTTTGTGCTTGGGATCGAACCCAAGGTCTTATGCATACTCTTATCACTGAACTACCTTCCCAGCCCAGTTGAGGCATAAAGAAATTATTAGAAAATTTTACTCAAAGCAGCTTTTTTGCCTCTGCAGTTAGATTGCAGCTGACTAAAAAAACAAAGGGAAAGAAACCAGACCTAGAAAAGCACCAGTTAAGTGCAGGTAACAAAATTCACCAGAGGAAGAGCTGATAAAGCATAGAGGAAGTCATAAGCATGAAAAATCAGAAACCAGAAACATAACTGCACCTCTTCCCCTGCCTACAGTAAAATGCAAAAGGAGGGGCGGTCACCACTGGAAAAATACATCTCTGAGTTTATAAACATCGATGTATTTCTCACTGGGGTCACTATTACTACAGTACATACACACCCCTTAATCATCACTAACTTAACTGCCTTTCTGGGAGATGTTTTGAGATGGGGGTGAGGGGTGGGGGATATCTTGCCATGTAGCCCAGGTTGGCCTCCTACTTGGAGCAGTCCTGCCTCAGACTACCCAGTGAGGGCAGGGATCACAGATGGCTGAACACCACACCTGGCTGAACTGCCGTTCTCTACCTACCCCCCAATTTATGCATCACAAAAGGGCAGGAGAAAATTAAAACCCACTAGAAGGAATCTTCGTGGAGGTCCAGGTTAGGGCCAAGAAGCAGGGGTAAGTACCCATCTTTGCATAGTCCCCACCTAGTCTTTGGGACAGCTTACTGTCTTGTTTTTTCCTTACAAATAAGTTGTCTTTGCTTCATTTTTGCTGCTGAGTGTTTGATCCTAGCTGACTGCTCTGGTTGCGACATGCCTGTACTCAGCTCTTTGGGAAGCTGAGCCAAGCCCCGCCTGAACGACTTAGATCTTGTCTCAAAAAAAGGATGGTGGGAGGGGCTGTGTGGCTCAGTGGTAGAGCACATGCTTTGCATGTATGAGGCACCACGTCCGATCCCTGGCATCTTAACTTGCTTGTTGGGTGTGGTGGCACAGGTCTGCAGTTCTAGCACTCAGAGGCTGGGGTAGAAGGATCACTGTGAGTTTGAAGGCCAGCCTGAATTTCACAGGGGGACCCTGTCTCCAACAAAAAAAATCACCTCAGGCTGTCATAAGGGCCATCACCAGAGTTCCTTGGCACCTGTATCAAGAATACACTGCTGCTGTTGCCTAATACGATGCATATGCTAAACTTTATAATGTTATTTAATTTATTTGGGGCTGGGGATTTAGCTCAGTGGCATAAGCACCTGCCTTGCAAGCTGGTAGTCTTGAGTTTGATCTCCGGTACTGATAAAAAATAAAAATAATAATTATTTATCTGATACAGGGGCTTGCTATGTAGTTCAGAC